AAAATTCATTCCAAAAGGCCAAAATGTTTTATGTGGCCGGTCGTAATACGTCAGTTTACGCGGTTATACAATTGATGAGAACTTAGAAATTGGAATTAAAGGTTGAATACGGCTGTGTTTGGGTTGAAAAAAAAAGGTATGGGAAGGTGACTAAATACAGCCTAAAGGTTTGGTCAATTAGAGGTTTTTCGTTGATGCCGTGTTTGGTTTGAAAGAAAAGATAAGAAAATTTATACAAGTCTAAGCTTTTCTTTCAAATCAAACACACCTTAATGGTTTCACTAGCAAATCTGTTCTATATAAGATAAGACAGACATTCTGTTTAAAGTACCTATAACCTATGCTAAGATTGTAGTCTAGATAAAAGACCACTGACTACCCTAATTATCCCATAGTATGTTTTTGAAAGGCAAGAAGTTGAATTAAGCTATATGTTTGGTTGCAAAGAAAATAAGAGAAAACAAAATAATGTACTAAAGAATGAAAAAAAAAAAAGAAAATAAAACAAATATTTGCTTTTAGTGGGGACTGGGGCCACTTTTACTTTTCTCACTGTCTATTGTTTTCCTCTGCTTTCTCTACCTTTTTAGGAGAGAAAATAAAATAATTCAGAGAGAAAATTTACCTTCCTATCTGCATTAATAACTTTCCTTGTTATCCAAACTAAGGTATTTCTTTCCATATTTCCTATTCCTTTGTTTTCAATAAAATGTTGTTCTAACTTTTTTATTGGATGAATAATGGAAAATTTTCTTCTAATTAAAAAATTATGGAGTTTCTAACTCAATAAAGAATATTAAAATAGATTTCATCCCAATGATCGAAATTTTAATACGATATGCCCTATATCATATTGGGAACGTGTCAATATAGGAAATAAATGACATTTGGGATTTTGTCTTAAAAAAAAAATTATATGCTGTCGAAACATCTGATATGCAAGTTCAGGCATACAAGGTAAAATGGATACTTTTAGCCTTTCCTCGTCCTTCTCTTGTGGTTTTACCATATATAGAAATAGAATGCCAATGTAAATCTTATTTGGGTCCTAATAAAAATTTGTAATACAAAAGTACTTAAATTTGGGGTTGTTTGGAAGGTCTCATAAATTATTGAACCTTTGGTTTAAGAGAATGCCAAAAAAAGAAAACAAATTTTCTTCTGTCATGTCATGTGGAAGGGGCTGAAAATTTACCGCTGAAGAAGGTGACAAAAAAGCTGCAAACTGAATAGGCACATGGAAGATTCTTGGATCACTTTGACTTTTATGCTTTTTGCAAGGAGATTTCTTTGCTGGATTTCTTGTCTAGTAAATCTGTTCTTTCCTGCCATGTATGTTGGTGTGTTGGTGACGAAAGGGCCCATTTCACAGTTGTTGACTTGTAGTACAAACACGCCAATAACCATGTAGTCTAATGGCTCAATTGGCATCCCTCCATTTGAGGAGGCATGGGCTTGAAAGTAACAGGATAAGCTATACAAACAAAGGCATGTACAGCAAGCTATATATAGAACCAATCAAGAATGTACATGTCAGTGTTTCGTTTCGTATACATGATAACCACATCCTATCTATATGAAATGCTGGTGTGTTCCTATTTGTAACTTAGTTAGGTTCAGTTTAAAACCATGGAAACACAGGTTACCAGTGCCCCATGTGCATGTGCATCTTTGTTACCCTAACACCACTGAGTTCACTTTTGCTACGCACAGGGCTAAAATATAAAATCAAATCATGTGGTCTTGGATCTATTACAGTGCCCCCCCTCTCATCTAAGGTTGGGCCATGACAGCAAATCAAAGGCTTTGATTTACTTGTTTCAGTGCAGCGCAGGATTAGTATACTGTTGTAGCAAAATATGGGTTGAACACCACTGGGGCCAAATCTGTATTGAGGGAAAAAGTAGGGAAACCTATACAAATTTTGTAAAGGTATTTTACATCTTTCTTCCTTTTCTTACTTTTTCCTTTAAACCAAACACAGCCTAAAAGAAAAAAAAAAAAGAAATTTCTTATAAGGGAGAGATAGAATGATGTTACACTTCAATTTGGATCTTAGAGCCTTTTTCATCAAACTGTAGCTCAATATTTCTTTACAACATTTCAAAAGTTTTCCTTTATTCAATTTTGTTTTATTTAAAAATTCAGGAAAAATTTAAGAGTTTCTGTACGTATAGACAGCCATGGATTGTTGGACAGGAGCAGGAACCCTTAAAACAAAGGACAGGTGATGAAGAATTTCTTTCATCGCTGATCTTAACGCATCCTTGGAGATTTTGGTGTTGGATGTGCTTTGAGAGGGGAGACATGATCTTATGTGGACCGATTTGTATAATCTGGATTAGTTAAACGCAATGTCTGTGAAACAGGTTATGGAACTAATGATAACATTTCATGCCAGCCATTTATGCTAAAGAGATGTTGAATGGTTGTGGGTATTATCAGGGGTATTCGTGAATCATGATCTGGTTTGGTACAGTTTAAAGAATTTCTAATATGGTTTGGCCATTCTATTGGGCTTAATCCAATTAAAAAGCACAAACAACATATATGGCTACATACGGTTTGGAGTGGTTTCAATCTATAATTTATACTTTGGTACTTTGGTTTGTGATGTTGCATGGTTTGGTGCTCCTTGTTGGAGGACAACTCAGATGTCGAGCCGGTGAAGTCACCTAGTCGAGCTGCAAGAGAATAGTATCAGAATACCCAGGTGGACACTCGGATGATTAAGTCAGTGAAGAATTGTTGTGAAAGCTAGAAAGCAAGCGAGCTAAATCACGTGTACCTTTTTTGAGAAATGAGATGCCTTTATATAGGCACGGGTTACTGTGGGCTTTACGTAGCACTTCCAAGATCACTGGTTCGTTTGGTTCGGAGGTGCTTTCACTTTTGGAGACGAATTCTATCGCTTATTTGGTTATCTCCAAAGTGGGCGGGATGGGAGTTAGCTCTGTCGATGAGGCAATGTGATTCCGAAGGAGTTGGAGATGATAATTCACTCGTGATAGAGGTCGCCCTGTTACGACGTGCAGGTCACCAGATGGACGCCGATCAGGTTGGCGAAAGAGATTGCCTCTTACACCGAGCTGACCAGTTCTGGGGTGTTTGTAGGTCGGTCTGTCAAGGTGGGGTCGAGGGGAATAAGGCAGATGCGATATGTTCAAAGTTCTTTTAAAGTCATTGCCTACATGACGTTGAGGTGTCATGTGACGATTCCTGGGTGCCACATGTTGCCATGTCACTGGAGGGTTAAATCACTCCTCATCAGTTTCATTTTCAAATATAGGAAACCAAACCAAAACAATAAACCATAATTTAGAAGAATCCCAAATTGAACCAAACCAATTTCTACGTTTAGACTGACCCAAACCTGAAATTTCAGTTTGGTTTGGTTTAGCGGACTGGACTGTATAACGAACACCCCTAAGCCTCAAGTATTCTACGACCGGTGTGAAACATTATGGTTGGTTCCATGGCCTACTAAACAGGTAATTTTAATTAGGTGATAAGTGAATTGGATTTCTTTTTACTTTCTTTCTTTTTTCTCTTTTTCTATTAAAGCCCCGACAACAATTTCAATTAACTAATAAATCTAGTTTTAATACACGAAAGAGAGCATGCCCTTGAATAGTTATTTAGAAATTCACAGAGGCATTATCCACCCAACGTTTGGATTCAAATATTTAAAAAGCATGATGAGCAAGAATATGAGAAATTTGGTTAAAACCTCTATCGAAATAATAAATTGAGGTAGGCGGCACCGTAAGACTTTTCCCATGTTGGGTTGTGGATAAAGGGTTGCAAATTGGATTGCCCAATTTGAAGATTCAATTACATCGGGCTTGAATTAGGGCTTGGGCCCATTAAAAACTTAACAAATTAATTCCCAAAACCTCACCCAAGTTGCACTCTAGTCGGATGGGTCACAAGGGTTGGGTTAGAAATTGCAACACCTGAATAGGGTCGTAGTTTTAGTTGATATCTATTTGATGATCCATCTTGATTCTTAAAATCTTTTGACAAGAATTGCCAAAGGAAGAAAAAAAACACTCTTCATATTATTTTTTTGGACAGTATTTACAATTTACATTTAATTCAAATGGTTGAACCATTCAAATCATCACCCATTCATGATTTCAGATATCCGACTTTGCTGCTTTTTCAAATTTAAGTGAGATAAAACAGTTTTTTTTTCCCTTGCTTCATGATTTAAAGAGCTTCCTGGATTAGAATGTACAAACAAAAACAACGGATGATTCTTAGTGTTCAAATGAAATAGGAATCAGTTAAGCATGATATAATTGCGCTTATACAAGCCAAACGAGTATAACAAAGCATGTGATAGATACATATATAATTTCCTCTTTGAAGTAGGTTTATTTATTTACATATTCTATTTTTCTAGTCGGGGGCACATCCGCACATGCAATGCATTTGTGTGTGCGTGTTTTGTGGTTAGGAGTGGATTTAAATAGAGTCGAATACTTGGCTATTCAAGCTCGGCTTGCTAGTAAATTATCAGGTTCGAGCTTGATTTGAATTAAAAACTTGAACTTGAGTTCGGTTCGAGTAAACAATTTGGAAGTTTGAACTTGGCTACTTTTAATTGCAGCTCTCCCTCAGCTACTGAATGCTGAGCCAAAGTCTCCCTAGTAGCTGATGTGTGGAGTCAAGGGTCTCCTTCAGTTGCCCAGATGACACTCTATGTATATATACTTGATTAGCCTTGTAATCCTCACAAGTCGAATTTTATTAAGCTCAAGCTCAACTCGTGGCCGGTTAATGCAATAAACTCATGGCCAACCCGAATCCAGCCCGATATAACCCAATCCCAAAATACTTTGGATTGGTTGAGGTTCCGGTCTAACCCGGCCCGACTCGCACCCCTAATAGTGGGCCGGGTTAGATATTGAGCTAACCGGAACTATGAAGTATAAATTGGTCATGGGATCACCGGCCTTCAATTTATTTGCATGGCACGAGTCCCGACGCCGGTATGGATTCTGCATGCATGGCACGAGTCCCGGCGCCGGTTTTGTGATTAACAGCAAGATAGAGCTTATCCGTTAACAAGCAGAGCAGAGCCTGCAGAGGCGAAGCAATTGACGGCCGGACATGCCACGACGTCGGAACACCCGTCGTTACCCAAAACGTGGCAACTTGTCTGCTGCATGTGTCCACACTCTCGTCTCTACGTGTCCTGTCGTTCACTCTTTCTTGTATTATTACATGTAACATCTGCACTTATTTTTGGTAGAAATAACATCTGAACTTTCAGTTGTTCACTTTAATGCTCACACTAGCTACTTAGATTTGTTAATGGCGTCGCTGGTGCGAATCGAACGCTTCGTCTTCAAGAACGGAATGTGGAATTACAGAGAAGTAGTCCCATATTCGTTCGACTGGTGGACGAATGAGAATGACAACTCCAAACAGCGACAGGAAGGCTTTTTCTACACTCTCTGCGCTTTATACGCCCTTGTTGCCTTCGTCGCCTTGGTAATTTCTTCTATGTTTCTTCCTATTTCTTTGAGATTGTCTTGTGGAATTTTTGAATGTTTCATGTTTATTATTGTCAAGGGTCGATCGTATTAATTAAGATGACCAGGAGATGATGTATGAATCAGATTTGGGGAAGCTTAAGTACTGGGTTGGTACTATATATATATATATATATATACCGTGATAGAAGCTTTAGTACTATATGCAGAAACTGAGAGGCGATAGATGCTCTAATCTCTTGGTGACCAGATAGATTTGGAAATATGATTGTTTTATTTGTGAACACTTGCTTGAGCTTGAAAAGTTGAAATTATAAATATATAAATATGTAGGAGTTGAGAATTCATTCTTGTATGAAGGAAATGGTTTACTAATCATCTTCCAGAAACTTTTCTAGAGCTGAGATGACATAGGAAGAGTCAATATTTTGCAAGAAATAAAGGATGATACAGCTCTGTTTCGCAAGAGCTATGTTCTTCCCTGGTCGTATTACAGTGTAGTAGTAGTGGTAGCTAGCTAGTAGTTACTTAAGGCTTTATGCGAATCAAGAAATACCAAGAAGGGGCCTTTTTTTTTTTTTTTTTTGAGGTAGACGAGGGTTATTTGTTTGGAAGTGAGGTAGGAAGCAAGATGATGTCTTCCCCACTTTATACGAGAGAGAATTGATGTAGGATAAAGGTGATGCAAATTTTGCATCAGCTTTTGGGATGCAAAATTCGCATCGCCAGTGAGTGCAGATGCAGATGAGACGTACAAATTTGGTATAAGGTAGGAATGCAAATCATAATTATAAACTAACAGATACAAAACTGAACTGGTGCAAAATTTGTAACTAGTTCAGACTTGCACTGCAAACAAAACCTAAGAAAAATTTCCAGTGGTTTGAAGTTGCTTTTTGATTTTTAATTATGTAAAATAATGACAGTAACTTTGTTGTAGTGCCAAAATGATCACAAATTCAGTCGGCATTTTGGTGAAGTTCCATCAAAATACTGTTTCTGATTGTTAGGAGAGCAGAAATAGTTGTTTTTTTGGTTTCTGGGACACCGGAAATGATACCAAATGCCACCATAATCTCTCTATCTTTAAGGAAATGACAGAATTGAGGTTGAACTGCATATTTATTCCATGATGTATTACCGACATCTTGTTTTTAGCATCTGAACAATAACCAGAAACCACCATTATACATTATGTATGTGTCTTTCATGTAGAAAGAAAAACTCTATTTTGGAGTTTTCTTAGCTTTTGAACTCTTCTTAAAACTTCCGAGGTGAATTCTTTCCATAATGTCAACTCTAGGTATTTTATTGAAATGATTACTTAATTATTTAAGCAATCTATACATCTATTCGATTTCCACTGAAAACTTTAAATTGCAGAGACCTATTCAAGTTCAAGCTTACTGTAACTTAGTAATTAAAAAAAGTAAATAAGTCATTTAAATGAAATAGTGATTTGTATATTTCTTCTTTTTCTTGTTTGATCACCTTTTCTTCAAAAGAGATATTGAATTATGGCATCAGAGTAGTGGCTTACTCAGAGGGTGTTTGCCAATATGTATGATTTTTTTTTTAAACAAAAACAATAGCTACCATCGGCATAGATTATGCTTTTGCTGATGTAGCAGTTGTATTTTGTTTTAAAAAAAATCATACACATACCTATAAAAAAAAATCATATATAGTGATGAACACGCCCTATTAAGCCCAACCAAATGTGAATGTGACTTGATCCTTGAGATAAACACTAGTTGGAGAATGCCAGAGTTTACATTCAAAATTGTAAATGTTAAACCACAACATGCTTAGTTAAGATTTGTTGGTATCTTTTAGTTGCACCCACTGTTGATTTCTTCTTTCTTTCATCCTTTCTTTCTTTTTTCTTCTGGTGGAGAATCACCTATGGATAAACTTGAAGCAGACTTTTCTCTTTGCAAGATTATACTTTATATTGCTTCCTTATCAGTCTTCACCTAGCTGATATTAAGGGCCCGTTTGCTTCACAGTCGGAATTGGAACCAAAATCCTTTGGAATTGGAATGATCTATTACCATAGTCTGTTTAGTTCAGAGAGGAACCAGAATGGGAATTGGAATAAAAGCTGGAATGGGATTTCATTCCCAAGGGAGGGGGAGGGAATGACAACCAAACAGGCCCTAAATGTTTTAGAGGGTTATTTAACTGCAGTCATTTCAACAATGCATACTTTTATTTCTCATTTAAGAGCTTAGAAATTAGTTTGAACTGCACTGACTATTTATTGGGGTCCCTTAAAATATTACCTTCAATCGGTTAGAGGGCATGTTCTTAACCTTGCTGTTTATTCCCAATTAAATTGTTTATAAGCTGTCATTTTTTCTTGCACCTGGGTTAGGATCATAATGCAAATGTCTTCTTTGTTTCTAATTCACCAAAGCCAATCATATATCCTTTTTTATTTTTGTTCATTTCTTGTCCTGCATCATTGACATGAAAATTATTTGGGTCTGTGATTTACAGGTTCAGCTTACCCGGATTCAGATGAGAGTACCAGGATATGGTTGGACAACACAAAAGGCCTTCCACTTGATGAATTTTGTTGTGAATGGGTGTAAGAGACTGAATTTAATACTGTATACTGCATTAAGGCTCAGTTTGGAAGCAGTACAAATGCAAATATGTACAGCGTAAATACATACAAAATATATGGTTTTGCACTCTACATATTTGCATTTTTACTCCTTCCAAACTCAGCCTAAATGTTGAGTTTGTTTTCTTCCATGCTTTCTAAGGCTAAATTGCATGTTGACAGTGCGTGCTATACTCTTTGGACTCTACAAGAAAGTGTTTTTCCTCAGGCCAAAAGTAAGCTTCTTGGTCTTAGATGGCTAACCTGTCTTTGGTGTTATCTATCTGAAGAATATGTATTTCATAACTTTGAAGTTTAAAGTTTTTCTATTCTAAAGATGGAAAGATCCCAAGGGAAGCAGCAATCAGTTGTTCAATGATAATATATGTTATGCTATCATAATCTAATTGACTGGAGAAGATAGGATTTATAAGTTAAAGTGATATATCAGAAAACATTACATTTAGTTTAGCAGATGCTCATGAAAATGCGATGATTAATAAAGTGAAAATTCTGAGAACAGAGGGTTGATGAAACATTCACGATACAGGAGATAACAGACATTCCAACCTATCAAAGTAGTGAGGGAGCAGATAAGAAAGAGGTGCAAATCTTGTTAGAGTTGGGGATGCATGTTATATACAAAGTGCAAGAACAGGCTCTGATCTGTTTTGGACCTATCAATAGACCATAAATGGTTTGATGGGTTATTGCAGTTAGCACTGTAGTACTCTATTTACAGTATCTCTTTCCCTTATTATGCCAAATATTCATAATTGGAATCAAGTATATGAGCTTGCTCATCTGTTACTTCATATGTTTTCTGATTGATTCTAAGAAGCCACATAAGCAGTGCCTCTCCTGGGTCACCTCCTTAAGTCAGTAATGTTTTTCATGTTATATGAGCATCACATACAAAAAATTGATATAAGAATATGGTAAATTCTTCCAAAAGAATTGATGTTCAGATTCCTTCGTTTAATTTTAATTTTATATATAAACCCCTGCAATTTCTGAAAACTAGCTGAAACTGCATATTCAATAGCCGTTCTTGAGCTTATACCATGCAATTTTACCATTTTGAGTGTTATCCAACTGGGAATAACATTGAGCATAAGATTAGAAACCTAAGCTTTTAGTGTTAGAGAAAGCCTAATAGGTACTTCTAAGAGCCATAAAATTGGGCATTAGATTAGAAACCTTACTGGATTGTTTATATTTGTACCGGCATGCAATTCTTAAAAGATAAGCCTCCGAGTCTATTCTTATGATAGCAGAACTGCAGACTAGCAATCATTCTATTGTCACAAATGAGAAAACTCAAATTCTTAGTTGTGATTGTTGACCACCTAAGTTGAGCTATTCTTGACCTGAAGGAGTATTCTCCAAAAGTCTTGTTCTCATAAATCCTGCATGAGATACCATCCAGATCATAGCTAGATTAGGGGAGGAAAACCTAATTGTAACAATCCGCTAGGGTTGTTCTAATAAGGTTTCTTTAGCAGGGATTCTGGCATTCTGCTCATGCCAGATTTGCAAAGTCATGCACATTTATTTCTGCTTGAATGACCTTCATATGGTATACTAAAGAATTTTTGTTTTCACAAACATATATTGAGGAACAAATATATGAAAATGTGTGGACTTCCCAGTAAATGATTCCAATTGTGAATGGCCCTTGCATGTTTAAAACAGAATGCATCAAGGTAATATTATGCTGGTGCAAGATCATAGTTTCAAGAGGTCCGTAAGTTCCAAGCTTAGAGGTCTGATGTAGTTCAACCTGTACATGAATGCATACTGCTGCAAATGCACCCAGGTGTTTTTACCATTTGTCAGCTTATGTCTGTAAACTTCTTATGAAATTCACCTCTGCAGTTTGGACTGGACAATACAGAAGAAAGGTTCTCTTTTTCTGGTATAGGTTTAGGGTTTTCCAACATCAACTGTCTCCTTTACAAATAGTTGTTTAACTGATTCCCTTGTTTTTGCTAGTGTACTATCACAGAATTTAATTTTAGTACAGATATTTGAGATGATACTTCTGGATATCCCTGGACTTCTATTTTTCTCAACATACACATTGCTTGTCTTGTTCTGGGCAGAGATATATCACCAGGTACTTCTATTCTCAATATCATGATCTCTACTTCATAATTTATCTGTTTGGGTTTGGGAAATTGATATTAATGGGATGGTATTTTGATATTTTTGAGTCCAGGCTAGAAGCCTTCCCACAAATAAACTTAGACCTGTGTATTTTATTGTTAATGGAGTTATGTACTTTGTACAGGTATGGGATGAAACCTTTTGATCTATGAACTTGATAAAAGCCACATTGATTTTAAGGTTTCACTAGGTTGCTTTTCCTGTAGTCACTTTTATTAGTTTATCTTTTGTGATAGGTATGCATCTGGATATATCTAAGACCAAGTCAGAAGCCCATTGCAGTGGCAGTTGCTAAACTCTTCTTTTCAGGTCATTATTGCTAATTTTCTTTTTTTCTTTTGTTTCAAAATCATTATTGCCAAAATTCTTTTCTAGAACTTTTTTTTTTTGTGTACTAAAGTGGCCTCTTAGTACATGAAAAGTTGATGATCTTACATTTTTCTGGATGAAGATATTTAACTTGGTACTCTGCTGTAAGATATAATGATAGATCCCTTTTCCATTGAAACATTAATTATAAGAAAGTAGAAGTTTAGACAATGGTGTTGCTGAACCAACTTCTCTATTGCAGTTATTTCTTTCTTTGCTGCTCTTGGATTCTTGATATATGGTGGAAGGTAATAAATGATCCTTGTTAGTCTTAGTCGGCACGGGAAGATTTGTCTTTTTTCATTTTATTTCTTCTCTCCTATCTTCAGCTTATGTAACTGGGGACGTAGTTGTAATTTTGACTCTCAATGAATGAGAAAATATCTTTGGGTCGACTCTCAAGAGATTGAAGATTTGAAGGACTTCTCTTGATTGTTTTCCCTCTATGTCTTTCCATCTTTCTCTCTACTGTTTCTCCTCCTTTTCCCTTCTTTTTCTTTCTCTTTCTTATTTTCTTTTGCTTTTCATGTCAGCACAATCCTAACTGGAGAAAAGAAGAAGAAATTTCTAAGTTTCTTTTCCATGTAATGATATGTATGTTTGAAATTGTCTTAATGCCTTTCAGGTTATTCTTCATGCTGAGGCGCTTCCCAATTGAATCTAGAGGACGTCAAAAAAAGCTATATGAGGTTTGTAAACTGGGTGTGCATATTTGAATTTTGTTTTACCTTTATCCAGGAAGTGTGAGAAATGATTAATAGAACTGTATTTGTTGTTAGAGAATCAGAACATGTAAATCTACTACTTGTGCCATCATTGTTGTGGATATGGCAGTCAAGTAATTGCCATAGCCATAGGTCCTTTGTGTTTTGACAATTGTTTTAAGCGCCATATAATACTCTTTATTGTTTTACTTAAAAGGATTTCATTTATTTATTTATTTTTTAATTTAACCTGAAATGACCAAACCCAACGGGGAAATCCCAGTGAAATGTGAATTAGACATCTTCAGTAGAACTGAATGTACTCCACTACTCCTAGAAGGTGCTTCAAACAAAAAACAAAGACATAGAATCAGACCAGTTTCCAAGTGATATTCCTCAATGTCCAGAGAGAGAGAGAGAGAGCAATTTCCTGTACTGCTTCTATTATTGTATTCATAATTCAACCCTATGGATCCCTAGGATTATGCTCTTCTTTTTCCTTGCACTCTTCCACTTATCAACATCCCCCTACTTTTGCTTCATAAATCATAACCCACAACCATATCATAATAAAATTGCTATAATTTAAGAACAATGATACTCCATCCCATCTTTGTTGTTTCATTTCATTCTGTTTTATGGTATACAGTTTGATTGTTAAACCCATCTTCCTGGTAGGTTGCTTCTGTAACTGGGATTTGTTGCACATGTTTCTTGATAAGATGCTTTGTGGTAAGTTGGCTTTCTTTTCATGATTTTTACATCTATGAATGAAACTTTTGTAGAGTGTAGACCCAAAAATCTTCATGGGTTTGTCTTGTAGGTTGCTTTATCTGCATTTGACAAGCATGCTGACATTGATGTCTTGAACCATCCCCTCCTCAATTTTGTTTATTACACGGTAATCTCAATCTGATTGATGGTCTTTTAATCTTTATGTGGCATTTATCTGTATGGGTGCAATATTTATGATGCATCATGCATTGGGAGGTGTTAGAAAAGGGAGTACTCCATCTTACTAATACCAAGTGGGTAATAGTTAAAAAAATAAAAAATAAAAGAAACAAAAATGCACCAACCGGGAATCGAACCCGGGTCTGTACCGTGGCAGGGTACTATTCTACCACTAGACCACTGGTGCCTTGTTGAAAATAAGTTCTGTTATGTAATAGAAATTAAAAAGCGAGACACAGATAGTGGCAAATACATGGTCTATTTTAACGAGAACTAGTGCCATCTTTTTCTTCTTGAATGCTGATTCATTTCAATCTCTAAATTGTTATTTTGGGCTGCGTTCAGTTGGTTGAGATAGTTCCATCTTCTCTGGTGCTCTTCATCCTTCGGAAGCTTCCCCCCAGGCGTGTTTCTGTTTCTGATCAGTATCATCCCATTGAGTGAAACGAAGATGCTAGCAGTCATCAATTCAATGCCATCCCTCTCCCTCTATAGCTCTCATTTGCTGGAAACTCTTTTGGCATGGTTTGGCTTGCATCAAGACTCAAAGAGAGTAATATTATGTCTATTCCATATAATTAAATCATGTAGTATTATGTCTATTCCCTTGGAAAAGAAAAAGCATTTAACAGCGATTAATTATAAGGTGGTTGACATATAACATGCATATTTGAAAAGCAGGGGCTGGTTGCTTGGTTTAAGCAGCTCAAGAGTGAAGATAGTCTTGTGAATGCAGTTGGCTAATCTATAATCTATCTACGGTGGTCAGTGGTGGGATGGAATTATCTCATATCTGCAGTGCAGTGTACCCTCTGCCCTGTGTGCTGTGTACAACAGATTTGTTGATTGTTTCTCTGAGAATGGAGTTCAGTGGACAATGGGCACCTTGCACTGCAGCAGTTATTATCATACTTCCTCGGAATTTAACCATGCATTCTTATTTCTTTCTTATGGGATGAGGATTCGTAATTCCTCTTTTTTTTTTATTTGTTTTGTGCACTGTTGGATTTCACATGGTGGATTAACTAGAAATTGTCAGTCTTGTGTTTTTAGAGAGAGAAAGAGAGAGACTTTGCTGGGGACCTGATTTATATATATATTAAATGAATTTAAAGTTAAAAATATTGAAAGATCTTTCTATGGTTTTAGAAAAGATAAGTGAAACAAAGAAATATATAAAATATTAATATTATTGGGCCGGGTTCAGGTTTAGTCAGGCGTCAAAAGCCCGGGCCTGAGTTGGCTGAGCCTGAGCACGTGGGTTTAAAATTATGTTCAAGCCTGGCAAAAAATGGACCAGGCCGGAGACGGATAGCTGATTGAGCCTGAACCTGTGGTTTTAAAATTATGTCCAATACAGATTGGGCCCCGGTCCGGCCCGTTGAACTATCCGGCTATGAACAGGTCTACTTAATCTCAACTCGTTGAGGGCATTCGTTTGTTTGTAGAAAAGTAGAACTATTTTTCAACTACTACTTTTCGTCTATCCTATCAAAGGATTGAAATGACATTTCTGTTCAAGTTGATTTTTGGCCATAAAAACTAGAAAGAGGACATTGACATAGAGAGAACATCGAATCAAATAATTCAGAACTAAAATATCAAATGAACAATGCTACATTGACTTTCCTTTATGCACCTCAGGTCGGGTCACATACGCCAACATGAGGTCCCAGAAAGAAAAGTGACAGACAGTAATGCAAGGATAAGCCATGGTACAGTTGCATACTTTTTTCAACTTTTTAGAACCCTTGAATTCATGGTCCAACTTCTACCCAGAAAAAACAATCTTTCTTTTGGGGCTCTTTGCACCCTTTTTTTTTGGGTGAGGATGGGGGGTAAGAGGGGTTCTTTGCACTCCTAGTGAATTTGACCTGCTTTTTGTACTCCTTTTGTGCATCACTGCTTCTTGGGCCTGCAGAAAACGTAAAAGGTGTGCATTCCTATTAAGTAATATCAGTGAACGAGCATGTGCAAAAAGCTGGTCTCTATTTATAGAATTGATACAAAAGAATATTCTACTTAACTGATCCAAACCATTGTGGTCCATAGAATGTTTAGAATCTACAAGGCCTCTTGAGGAATTAAAGAAAATATTTCAACTTGTTTTCTATCTCCTTACTTATTAATAGAAAATTGAGGAAAAGTTCTTAACAAATTGTGCGAAATTACTTCTCTCTTATTTATGATTGTCATCATTCTAATTTTGGTAAAATTAGAATTTTAGTTCTGCGGCTTCTGCCATAGATCAGTTTAAAGCGATAAAGACATTCAACAATTGGTCCCAATTGACAAACCACCAATGAAATCCTGCTTAAGCCAGGCTGACTTACATTATTCATGAGCCTAAAAATGAAATCCAGGAAAAGCCTGGTCCATAGCCAGATGATACCTGATATGTTATTTTTTCTCTTGCTGTTCATCTTTATTTTTTATTGCAAAAATGTCAACAAACAATACATCAAATTATAAAAAAAAAACACATTAACAATTAAAAAATACAAAATTGAAAATAATATAAAATCTACCATATTTTTTTTCGGAAAAGTACAGACAGGCTCAATGCAGATTTCTGAATTCCATTGCAGAGCTATACACCAATGCCTGCCCGTAAAATCAGGGGTGGGGGGCAGAGCAGGGTGCATATGATCTCATGCTTCCCAATTTTGGAGGGATGCCAACACGGGGGTTGTATTGGTACTATTGCTGTTTTTCCTGAAACATTTTGGGTTGTTCGATGCAAATTGGTTAAGAGATTTTTCAGATACATGGTTGTGTTTGGTACTATTGCTGTTTTTACTTGAAACATTTTGGGTTGTTTGATATAAATTGGTTAAGAGTTTTTTTTTTTCTTTTTTCTACCTGAAGCATTTTGTGTTGACCAATACAAATTGCTCTTCAGAAATGCCAATTTGACATTTTAACATGATCAGCCTCACATATGCATTTTTCTAAGTGACTCTCAAATGTGATGTGACAACACATTTTTCACCAATTTATACTGATCAGCCCAAAACGTTTCAAGTAGAAACAGTAATGGTATCAAACACAACCTGGGTCATCGGTAATCTCCCATGAAATGAATCATCAACAAAATAAGATAAATAACCCAGTAGTGTATAAGAAAGAAGAGCCAGATTAAGAAACAAATTGTTGATGAATCCATTGGTTTGATAGATCATCCATAGACTCTTATGGTTTTCTTTTTCTACCGTCAGAAAATAAACTTTTCTGTCAACTTTTAAGCATTAAAAGTGAAATCTTTAATTACTGAGCTAACAAGAGTAAGCCTGTGATGGACAGCATCACTAAGGAGAAACGAATTTGTTAGGGTGCATAGGTTTTTTGTGCAGTTTACCAGGATACAAGATATCAGACTGGATGCTACACTGCAAACCCTCAATCTTGTCATCGCATAATTGAATCAAGTTATCAAAATCCTACACAAGTTAGTTATGTGACGTGAAAAAAAAACCAAGTATAGAGCAAGAGGCCCCAGATCACTTGGAAATGGATGGTAGCAAGTGTACCTGCCTTCTTCATAAAAAACGAGGCAACAACATGGTTTTATTATATACCACACCTTGGTAGCACTCTTCTTTCCTTAGGAGAATACCAATAACTATACAACAGAGCTAATATATGATACAAACAGGAAAAGAAAAAAAAAGGGGACAATGAATTGGATGACTTAGATCCCCAGTATCAACTTTGTATTGCAGACATTTTGGTTGGAGGTCGAACTGCAGAGAAGAAGAAGGAGAAAGATATGGAGAACATTGTAAATTAGGAGTTGGTCCATCAGTAGACTAGCCTATGGTATTAGGTAGCACAGCATTATCTGCCTCCCAGTTTCTTGTCCTGCAGTTTGTAAATGTTTTATCTGTTAGCAAGGTATGAATCAGATACGTTTATGAAGAATCCAAAAAACAATTTTGTAATTTACCAAGATCTTGTTGTAGTTGTAGAAGGGCAACCCCTTCCTCTTTTCAATCATGCTCAGGGGTTTTATTGGAGAGATCCTCAAAAGTTTTAAGCTAAATGATGTGAAAATAATTAATGTAAATAAATTCTAAGATATATTGAACAAATTTATCTTTAAAAACGTGACACCAAAAGACATGTAGCTAAACGATTTTACACCAGAAAAAATTGGGGGGCTTCCAGGGGAAATCATGTATAGAGAAATAAAGAAATGCTAAAATCAAATATCAGAAAGTATTTCAAGATTCTCAGTAGTGGAATGTATTTAGCATCAGAACTATTCAAAACAGTTAAGAGTTCTGGGTATCAGAAACATAACTCCTACAGCTCAGGGTTTTTAAATCATTAGCCCAAACAATTAATTAAATTGGATCACATAGAATTGCAAGAAACACCAAAACAATTAACAGGGGCCTATCCTAGTCCAATTGAATACTCAGGAGTTAATTTGTTACCAAGTTTGCAAAAGCTGCCTCCAATTCACTAGTTGGTGGGACTGAGATGCCTCTGCATATAAGATCAGCTTCTTCCAAGACCACTATTTTCGCCCACAAACCGCTCTGAATAGCTAGAACTAGAAGCGGAGGGAGCTGAAGGAGACCAAACTGGAACTAGGCCCCCATCTCTCCCTTTTCTACCACTATTGCTACTTGAAGATTCTGTGGAGTCTTCAACATCTTGTAGCCCTCGCGTAGCATTAAACAGTGGAAATGTGTCATTGTACCTAACAATTTGTGAACCACCTTGATTTGATGTTTCTCTCCTTGAGTCCAAACCTAAATCTAAATTTGCTGGTACTTCTGGTCTGCTATCCCCAGGCAGGTATCTGAAATCCACAGAAGATTCCTCCTCTTCAACTCTTAGAAATGAAGTCATGCTAGGGACCATCTGATCCTCGTATCGTTGAATCATGGTTGCTGGGTTGTTCCTGATGGGCTCACGTTCCACCTCCATTTGCACATATTGAGGGAAGGCAAATCGATGTGAACCAGAAGAGTCCCCAAGTCCTTCCTCTGTTCCATTCTCAGCTGCAGCTCTCGAAGCTGCTTCACGCTGCCACATCTCCAAAATAGCTTCCTGCAGTCTAGATTTTGCTGCATCTATTCCTATAATGGGTAGTGGATAGTTAGAGCCCAATTCCACCCCAGCAGCTTGAAGTACAGATTCTGGTGCATCCCATGGGTGGTGTATCCATTCAGTAGGTAGCCTAGAAAGTTCAGGAAGCCACCGTCGTACATATTCACCTTTTGGGTCAAATTTGTAACCTTCAAACTGTTAAAGACCAAGAAATAAATATGAGAAAGCAGAAATTAATCAAGTCAATGTACAAAAAAAAAGATTAAGCAGACAAATCATGTAACCCAGTTGGGCACTGGAATTTGCATGATTTCTATTATTTAACAGTGTCTTTAATGCCTTGCCAAATGAGAAACTATTTCCATACATAGTATGAGTAGAAGAACAAAGAAAATAAAAATTTAGGATATCATAATCATGGAATGCAGGGGCCATTGCTTGGTATAATGGTAAAACCTTGGGCTGGCAAGCATGAGAATGCTGGTCCAAGTCTGAAAGAGGCCACTTTAGTGCAAAAAAAAATGCCAAAGGTTGGGAACGTATCCAGTCTACCCCTCCCAAGACCACAGATAGCTGAGACCAACATTGGAGAATGGCCTTTATAATTATGGAATTTCATTCAACAAAAAGAAGAGCCTAAGCTGTATTTCCTTGACATCCATTATTCTTTTTCTTCCTTTTTTTTTTTTTATAAACAAAGAATCCAATCTATGACATTATTTGAGTACCAGTACTCAATAAAAAGAAAAACACAATTGTCCATAAATGGGCTTTTTGTATTGGATGGTTTATGGTTATAACCATCCAGTTATAATTCATTTGAGTGGCTGACTCTTTTGCAGGCATGTCCTTGTTTACCATGCTGCACAAAATTTCCTGGTACAAGTATTTCCCACACCTATAATGTAGGTGCAGATGGCAAATGCATTATAGCTGAATCTTTCCACACAAACTCTTATCTATTCTTACCTAAGGCCTACACTCATCATCAATAGGCACATTACTCAGCAGGCTACCACATGGAAGGTATATAGTCCAATTTAACATAAGCATAGGATATTGCTCTGTTACAAAACTAAAATGGAAAGCTAGCCAATGAAAATAAAGGACAGAGTTCCCATGTGTCTAATAACAACAAGGTGAACTCTGATATCTAAACCATAGTCCATCAACCAAGAAGGTAACGATATGATTGGACCTATGATACCCAAAAACCTTCACATACCTAGTTTACTGGTATCGGGCACGATATGTACCAAAGTAGACAGTTGACACCAGATACTGCATGGGCAGTTCTAATTAAATTTGGCAAGAAAATATCTAGACAGAGTCTGCCTGAAACTCCACTGTCACTATCCTTTTATTCAAGAAAAAAAAGGTCCTAAGAAAGACAGCTTCAAGGACCAGATACAAAAACATTCTACAAGCATATAATATAAGGGGTACCAGTACCCATATTCATTGGGAGTAAAGGAAATTGAGAGTTATATCCCCATATCCTGTACCCATGTCAATATCCATATTTGGGTATCATAGGCTTGGATCAAATGAGTAACGCCATAGTGTCTACTTGTAAAGGGCTTGTCTATCATAAATATTTTTCTCCCACAAGCCATATCCAGAAGAAAAAAGACATCCTAGCATGTAGTCAACAACAAGGCAGACAAGCCCCTTTGCCCAAGACAACTCAGCTTTTTTTTTTTTAAATCCCATTCTCTTTTTCCTTTTTGTTGCCACATAAAGTAGTTAGTAGAGATCATGTGCATTCATGTGTTAGTGCTTCTCCAGAAGGCCATGGAACATTAGCCAAACCAAAAAGGGAACCAAACTGAGCTAGAATCTTGAAAGACAATTCATCTGCACCTGTGGGTTATCTATGTGGTCCAACTCCCGACCATCAGGCAGAGTCCCAGATATATATTGCCAACCAAGAGCATCACTCTCTAAATCTGCATCCAACAAGGTATCCCAGAAATACTTCATCCCCCATCTCCATGGCAGCTGTAAGACCTTCACAAAAAAACTAGCTACCACAACTCGTATTCGATCATGTAACCAACCAGTGGCCCAAAGCTCTCTCATGCCAGCATCAACCAAAGGATAACCAGTTCGACCTTGCCTCCATGCCTTGAAATAGTTCTCATCAACCACCCAAGGGAAGAACTTAAGGTGTCCAAGAAGAGGCCTTTCATGACTGCAAGGATGGTTAAAACTCGTGTATCTCGAATACTCCCTAAGACCGATAGACTTGAGAAACAAGTTGACACTCTCTTCACCTGTTTTGTTCCCCTCATTGGCCCATATGACCTGTTTGATTCGGACTAGATTGAAGACTTTCCGCACACTCACCTCCCCAAAATGTAAATGTGGTGAGAGAAATGACGTTGTAGCACTATCAGCCTTCTTACGGTTTACAGAGTACTCAACCAATGGTCCATTTATGAAGTTGGTTAGAGCCTTATCAGCACTGCTCCATCCAGGTGACCATGCGCGAGCAAGAAGTGCATTGCTTCCTTTCTCTGATTCATCCTCAAACACTAGAGTGTCTGAAGGGCATCTTGATAAATCACCTGAAAGATTGCAAGGCACAGTTGAATGTAAGCTGTATGCACAAAAGTAGTTGTTCAAAGAATAACAACTAAAAACAAACTGTATTATACACTGATAAAGTAGTACACAAAACATTTATATATACAAACAAAACATATTAGAATTTGTTTTATTGTATTCCTCTGACCATAGAGTAGATTATGGAGATTTTGATTAAAAAAAGGACTGGATTAACCACATTAGAGTTGACAATCAAGTTAAGAAGAGAACCACTAAAAATCACACACACATACATAAAAAGAAAAAGATTCTGTGGATGCTATTTACAGAATATGCATGATGGGAAAAGTTGGACCTTTTTTTTTGGGGGGGGGGGTGCATTTACTGTCTTGGCTGACTTCACAATAGAGACCTGGCCTTGGAAACCCATTTTCTTAATCAATCCAAAGTTCAGTGGCAATTCTAGACAATGGAAATGGGTGGTTTCCACATCTAGAACTCAATAACCACACCGTTCGAACAGCCCCTCACAACCTTGCATTGGGAATATCTCCCATGAAATAAATCACCTAAGTATGGAGATATTCCCAACGTAAGGCTGTAAAGGTTGTTGGAACGGGCTTTGCCCTGACCGAAGCTGGACTCCACCAATGGAAGTATATGCTAATTGCCTTTTTCTAATATAATATCTTTCATAATGTACAGTTGGTTAATCAACTAACTGGGTCTAAGCGCAAAATGAAGCCAAAAAATAAAAGGAAATAGTAAAAATCATAAATATACTTTTGTATGTCCTAAATTCTGAACCACCTTGTGGTATAAAAAGGGTGCAATATAGGTGCTAAAAAAAGGTTGGTTTACAGCTAGTGAGCAACACCGTTTATAATTAATAGAATTTCAATCTTCTCAGAATGTGCTTTATCTTCACTGTTGAGCATTTCTTACTGTAATCTCCATATATGCTAAGCATTCCTTTGACAGCTCCTGCCCCTCACCACTCTTACTCTTTCATCTTTCTTGAATTTGACAAATATAGGAAGATTGGGTAACCTTTATGTTCTAAAGTTTATTCCCATGCCACAGTACAAACCCAACTTGACAATTGATAACAAGATAAACAAAACTTTTAAGTATTAGACATACTAAACAACATTATAATTAATCCAATTTAACCTACAATGTTTAGGACTTGCTATAAAATGAAAGACTAAGTAGTAGGCCTGGAGGAAACCAAACCTGAAATTATCTTTTTAGGAGGGAGCAGGGGTGCTGCTGGATCATAAGGCATGCTAAGGCACTTATTCCAGAAATCCACGAAGGTGGCGAATGGGCGACCATCCACATCTGTAATCTCCCATGGCTCATAGAGCAAATCTGCATTGAAGGAACGGACAGTTATGCCTTGAGCGGACAGCACCTCCTTTGCTTGGTGGTCCCTAACAAGTGACAAGGGATCTGCAACACAGAAATGAAGTTCTCTTACATTTGAACTTCTACTCAACAAAACAGGTTACAAAGTTATCGACGCTCTACTTCCATAAGTAGTATACTGCAAAATCACAAATAAATAGGTGATATGGGTAGCCACTCGGGAAACATGATAGAAGAAGAAAAGATGGGAACCAACATAGGAAAGACATGAAAAAAGAAGCTCAAAAGACACGCATCCCAGACATCAAATAATTCTATAATAATGAGTAACAGCACTCTGTTGTATATAAAAAGAAAAGAAGGAAAGAAAAAAAATCATTATAGAAGACCATTTACTGTAAACATCACAAGCACTATTTGAACACTTTTCGCATTAATTGAAAAAATTAAATATAATATCATAACACTTCCCAAAAATTAACAATACAAGCATATTAATTAATACAAGTTACGGGCAACTGGCAATCTCAGAGAGAATGTTGAAAGAAAAAGTGATTACAAAGAAAAACAGAGAGGAAAGTAGAAAGAAACTTACCATAGAGGTCATTGAAGAAGAGCTGAGTAGCACCAGTGGATTTGACAACCTCTATGAGAGAAGAGACACTATTAGTAGACCTCTTCGTGACAAGAGATGTACCCAGACTCCTCAAGGTAATATCAAGGTGAGCCAAGGTCTGCTTGAGCCACCATCTTGAGACCCTGCCAGGATAATAATGACCCTCTTCCTCGGGTGCCCATATGAACACTGCGATCACAGCCCCTGCCCTCACACCAGCAGCAAGAGCAGGGTTATCCTCGATCCTCAGATCCCTCCTGAACCAAACTATGCTGCACCGGCCACCTGACATCTATCCAACAACCAATCCAAAACACAACTCAAATCTCTCAATGAAATATCATCTATCTCTCTGTTTAATTTTTTCAATTCTTACTTCATATCAAGAAAATGATGGCAAATAAAACCCAGTTGCATCGGACTTCTCAATTCATATACTCCAGATCCTTTGATTTTTCGTGCATAAAGAAAATTGGGTAGGGGATTACAAGAGTTGTCAAGACTAGCTGTGTTCTTATCCGTTGCTTTCATTACAACTTAACTCTTTCTAGAAGATAGATTAGAGGAAGTCATCTTCTTCTAAACATTTAAGAGAAGAGTAATGGTTAATCTTTAATCATTGATGGGGACAAGGAAGGAGGGCCATACCAATGTGATAGATGGGCAACTTGCAGCCACAGCCGATAGACTGACAGCTCTCTTTTTTCTCTCTCCGTTTTTCTTTTCCTTATCCAACGCGACAAAACATCCTGCCACAACCTTCCTCAAATTGGAATTTTGTGAAAGGCGGGTTGAATTTTTTTTACCGATTTTACTAGTTTTGTGGAGAATTTCTACTCCTCTCTGATGCTCTTGCATCCGATTGACGATCCATAAATCGGGCCCGACGACACACGCGCCGTGTCGGATACGGTACGATAGATTGGACCTTGCCGCCCACGACCTATAAATATTTATACGGAAAAAACTATGATGCGGGAAAGAGATGACATCCAAAGAGTTTTGATCAAACAAAACCCACCTATTAATTTTGATAAATAACATCTCATTGGCTATCACATTTATAATTCTAGTCAGACGTTTTTCAGTTATTATATCTTTTTCATATCATAGTCGAACCCTTATTTATACATATATTATATATAATAATAATATAAAATATATAATATATTAATATATATATAATTTTATTATATTATTTCATTTTATTATTGCATATATAAACAATTGTATGTGATGATGCACAATCTGGCCGGTCTTAGCTGTCGATGATCTTGCCTCTGAACTRAGTAACRGGGACCTGAAACGGRAGGAGAAGAGAAGCTCCGGGGAGAACCCGGCGTAAGGGCTCTGAAGCTCAAGTTAGAATCCTTCAAAGGCAAGATAAACCAGATAGCGCGAAAGTTAGCATACCT